ATCCTGACAGCCACCGCCCCACCCCCTTTTACCTACCCACCCACCCACAACACAAACCCAGCACAGCAACGTGCCAACGTCTTCCTTTTTTCCTCATTATTGTCCCAAATTTTGAAATTATCGTTTGAATGTTAAACGAAGTCAAAATATTACATCCTTAACATCATTTCGAAGTACTCACGACCTAGTTTATCGTATTCTTAACGTCGTGCAAAACGACCAACCGTAGCAAAAGTTACCACTCGTCGAAATAGGCCGTTCCAAAATATATAAATGTTTTTTCTTATTTTTATTTCAATTTTCGAGGTTATTACTGGATATCAAACGAAATTGAAATCTCATATTTTTAACACCATTTCGAAATACTCGCTACCTAATTTATTGCATTCCTAACCGCGTGCGAAACGGCCAACCGTAGCAAAAATTACTACTTGTCAAAAAATCAGAAACGGCCTATTTTTTGAAAGAAATATTTTTAACTTACAAAGAGTGATTTTTGTTTGTGGAAATTATACAGTAAACGAAGATTGAGCTGAATTGATTGCGACATAGAGTGTGTTTGTTGTTTAACTTTTTTCACTAAGATCTTTATTAGTTGTGAGTTTGGACGAGAGTATTTATCGATTGAGTTGTTCAAACGAGAATCAGTTACAGTTAAAATACATAAATAAATATTCCTCCACTCATTTTTTTACAACACATCAAATGTCAAACAAAATGTACACTTGGACAAGAATAATCTGACTCAAATTCACACCTCTCGTTAAAAACTTCATTTTGTGATGCGATAGGCTATTTTTATTATCAATCATATTACATGTACATCATCATTTACATTTTGTCGCGTGGCAACACGCCATTTGACAGTTAAAAAAATAATATTTTTTCCTCCAATTATTTTTTCACACCACATCAGATGTAAAAAAAGATGTAAACTTGCATGCCATTCTTAATAGTTACCCTACATAAAAAGATTCGCTAAACATTGAACAAATACCCAGTTAGGCTGCCTACCAAGTACTCAATAAATTGTTGCATCCACCTTAGGCATATATCACAAATTCACTTTCGTATTTGTTGCTCCCGGTCACACCATGACCATGAGTCTATAGATCAACCGCTTTCATCTTCTTTCCCTTGCATCGTCTGGCACATATATCCATAAACTCGACTTGTAACCGAGCTGTAATAGTCTCTTCCCTTAAGCTCGGCCACCAAATCAGTCAAGTTATATAGGGGAAACTCATATGTTGTCTTTCTCTTCGATCAATAACCCCTACCTCTAGTAAGAAGCAAAATTATTTTAGTATTCTTTATGTTTATTCTGTAAAATGTGAAATAAATCTTCGACAGTTGATTTTGCCTCTCTAAGGTTGTAACAAGTTTATCAAAAAGTAAAAACAGAAAAAAATAATAATAAATAAATAAATAGAAACTCCCTAGTTACACAAGTATAGACATAATACAAAGTGTACATGTTCTATTGAAGTCAGAATCTACTGGATTACCCAAAAGCTTTATATACACAGATGTAAGAAGAGAAAAAGAAAAGAAAAACAGTACGGATAGAGAATGGGAGGGTGCTTGCCTACATAATTATAATTAAACAATAAACTAAAAGTCCTAAGTTAGGTATTCAAACTTGGTTGAGGTGGTTGAGGGCCTTGAGGCTCGGGATCGGGTTGCTTGGGAACTGTGGCGCCTCCATTCATCCTTGCGCGTGCCTCTGCAAACATCCTCTGTTGCTCTGCCAGTGCCTGTTCCTCGGTCATTTCAGCTACATTGCTCCATTTCCCGGTTTTCACTGTGTCCTGTGCGAAAGCATTTCAAAGTAAAACCAACAGAATACTACATATAAGTAGAGTCGAGATCAGCGTGAGGTCTTGTTAGAGGGTATTTACCACTGTCTCGAGTTTGTGCTGTTCGTATGCAGCGTAAACTTCTTCAACATACTCCCCGAATCCAAGATCCTGAAATAAAAGATCAGTTTCTAAAATCCATTGCAGAACAGGACAATTTAACTGCAGAGGGAGGATAACACAGTATAGAAAATCAGTCTGAATAGGTATGTCGCACTTTTCACATGTTACACAACTCAATATACACAATGACAAGTGATCATTCAATGATGTCAAGAACAATCTATTCTTGGGGGCCTCAGAAGAAATGGTGGGGTAAGCTGCTACTCAAGGATATGAGCACACCAAGAGTATAGAATTGAGTGACAAACCTAAGAGCAGTATACTAGACATAAATATGCTTAAACTTTCTGCTCAAAGAGCTTTACCAAGGCACTCAGTAGGAAATGAAAGATAATTCACAAAAAATAAAAAATGCAATGCAACAAAAATTTCCGAATGCAATAAATAATAATAAAATAGTCTGCTACAATCTGAACAAACTATAAATGAATTTCAGTACTGAAATTCAACATAATTTTAGAACGAAAAAATAGTCGAGTTGAGTCACAAACCTGCAAAGCCTTGAGTACATGCTCAGGTGCAATTGTTCTCTTCTCTTCTTTATTACATACTTCATTTGATTCTGATGAAATAAGATTAATAAACTCTGCAAAAGAAGAAACACAAAGATCTTTCAGCAATAAACAAAAGAAATGAACTTTATTATACAAACGGAAAAAATGCAGGAATAGGACAGAGATCTAATTACTGGAGAAACAGAGTATTCACTTTTGAGCGTGGTGGAACCGCAAATGTCAAGTCATGCAAAAAAATCAAGAGGGGAGGTTTTTTTGTTTTTTTGGCAAAAAGATCACGAGGTCTCCAAATTTAAAAGGTTATTTACTCTAATAACTGATTTACATGGCCGTCAAAGCCAATCAAATATAAAACCAGAAAACAGCAGGAATATGAATCGTAGTAAACAGCATTGATGCACCAGAAAACATCGATAATCCAATGTAAATCCTCTAAGATTATAGAAAATACATCAATGTACCCCTAGTATCACACATTTCGCAAGGTAGTGACTTGCAATTTCAAACCCTACCTTTAAAAGTAGCAATTTACCCATTAATATTGGAATAAACTCAAAAGGTAAGTATATTTTCTTATTGTAGGCAAAAAAATTCAATGATTTCAACATTATAAAAGGAATCAATCTCAAGAAAGTCCAACAAATAATAAAAGGGTGTATTATATATAGTCAACCAGACAAAACATGCAAAAGGAAAAGTCAGTGAATTTCATTACGAGCCGTAATCTGCCTAAAAACATTGCATACCTACACAACACTCAATTATAAGGTCCTGGGCATCTCTTGCAACGCGCACATCAGGGGGGAGCATCTCCTTAATAATTTTTGTCATAGTAGCTGAAATAAACCATTAACATCTCATCAAAAAGCAGATCCAATGTAAGAAGTGAAATAATTTATTTACTCATCACAAAATCAAAATGTAAAGTTGCTGAAGATTATAATTAGCCATGGATTCACGAAGAATTCAAGCTCAATCAGTCAACACAAGTTGCACACATTTTCAGTTTATTACGTCCGATTCAATACTCTTTTCTAAACAATTTACTAAAATGCTGTTCGACAAAACAAGATCCACATAACATTTAAAGGTGAGACAAGTTGGCAGTAAAGAAGAAACATTACCCTATGCCCGACAATCCAGGACCAAACTAGAATTAAACTTTAGAGTGGGATAAAATTTTAGAATAAAATGGCCCAAATTTTGCTGACAATCTTCTTAATTCGTATCAACGATGTGTGTTTCAATGTGTTTGCACGTGGTATTCACATTAACATACTCAAAATCTATCCCAAAATAATAATAATAATTCACTGCAAACAAAACTATCAAAAAAAGGAACCAAACACATATATCGCATAGAACAATAAAAAAATGAAAAATAAACAACCTTTAGGAAGCGAAGCGTCCTCTTTAGTTCTGCCAACAATATCCATAGGTTCCATTGCTACCTACAAAAAAAATTAATAATAATAATAATAATAATAATAATAATAATAAATTGCAGATCTCAAAATACAACCAAATAAAAAGCAAAACCAAACGAGAAATAAATTAAAATTAGACTCACCAGAAATCAAACAACGTGAATCTGAAAGATCAGTAGAAGATTACCCGATCGATGAATACGAAATTGGATCTGCAACATATGGTCGGAGTTTCAGGCGGTGGTTCGTGGTCCATTATAGAGAGAAAGAAGGGGTTCTTCGCAGGCGACTAGGGCAAAGTTTTCTCAGAAATTCCACACGCGCTAAATTCACGCGTGTCGAGATGGAAACACTGGGCCCCATGCAATTGGTACGCAGATAGAGAGCGTGTAAAGCACGTAGAAATGGATAGTGTATGGGTAAAAAGTTGATAAAAATCATATGTTCCATGAAATATGAGATTAACATTAAAATTTGATCTGTTGAAAAGTTAATAAAATTTTAGCAAAGTTTCATTAAACAAGCATTAACCTTAAAAGTTCTTCTAGTTGCCACTGAACTTATTAAAATGTCATCTTTTTCGCTAACAATGTCATTTGCCGTTTTAAAAATTAAAGGAGTTGATGGACTTATTAAAATGTTATCGATCCATCATTCCATTTTTCATGTCATCTAGTATGTTAACTTTTAAAACAATGAGCGACGAAGTTGCGGATGTGATAATATATTGATAAATTCAATGATAATTTGGAGAACTTTTGTGTGACATCCATTTTATTCTC